CCGATTTTATTTGTGTTTTTACACAATCATCGAACACCGTCGGCTCGTATTGAGTTTATGACGATGTTTCCATTTTATGACTGCTTAGGGTCGCCGTATACCCTAAAAGGGACCACAAAACTCAGTTGGTAGGAATTCTTGTCATGATCACCCTAAGCGGGACCAAAATACTRATTTCAWACMCTAAAAGGGACGCCGAGGACCCCCGCCCTTTGATATTATGGAGTCCCCCCCCCGGGCAAACGGTGCTTCCTTATTCAAAATTATGAAAACTGAAAAACTTGGTGGATATGCAATAAATCAATATATTTCTGTTATATGTATTTCCTTCGCTTTTTTCCCCTCCCGAATAATTAATGAGTATGAGAAATCGTTCAAAGTCCTCCAATTCGGACTGAACGGGATTTCAAGTCCTTGCAATTAGTTCCAGTCCTCTGCTAACACCTCGGACTGGAACTAATTGCGCGGACTTGAAACCCCGTCCAGTCCTCATTGTCGAACTTTAATCATTACATAGACACCATTTTCACGGCAAAGATCTCARGTTTTTTCGCTTAATGCCAAACTAGGCTGCGCGATGCATGATTATTGTAGTTCAATGTCGCATCTATTTATTAAAGTGAAATGAAGTGAAGGTCAAAAATTGTKCGCAGTAGAGCGTGCGAAATGCAATAATGTGGAATGCTCTGGAGTCATATTTATATTGTAGTGCATGCAATGGGTACGTTATTTGCTTTCTATGTCCATAGGCGGAATTGGCTGCAGGAATCTTATCTTTCTACCATGCATACAAGACAAGACTTTGAGACGTGACGCAATCTCGCGCCTAGACATACCAGCAAATGACCAAGGAATAGACGAATGCCAGACCAGATGCTTTTTTGAAAAGAAATGTGTTTCATACAACTTGCTTCCGGTGGATGGTCAGCGGAGAGCATGTGAGTTGATTGACGTGGATCACCTGTCTTTCCCAGATGACGTCATTCCTCACCAGGGCTCGGAATACTGTCCACTTGAGGTGCTATTTCATGCTTTCATATTTTATTTTGTTCAGTACATTTGTTAAAAGTCTTTTAATTTCTACAAATATTCTTTTAGAATGAAGATAGTACATTTATTAAGTCTTTTAATTTCTACATATATTCTTTTAGAATGAAGATCTTTACCATAAATTGTTTTCTCAAATCTTCTCGTCCACTGACTCGATGTATCTCCATGATCTTTCTACATATAAAATATATTCATATTATTTCAACTGCAAACGTTCATTATTTCTTAAGCCTTGGAAAACGTTTACCCAGCCTGTTTTAAGTCTCTCTATTGTATATAATATCATTTCCCACAGAATCCATGCTCATCCAATCCTTGTGACGCTGGTAAAGTGTGTGAACCTGACTTCAGCAGGGACTCATTCATATGCCTGAGTGAGTTTTTTAATGTACTCTTTTCCCCCCATTCTAAGGATGGCCGCACTGGTCCATATCACGCACTTTCATGAAAGTTGCCAAAAAAGTTCATCTTTTCTTAAAGAATATATTCAAAGAACCATAACAATAAGAATAACCATGTACTTTTGATGTAAAGTATGTATGTGTATTTGTAGATCATGTTGCCAACTGTGCTCAAGTCTTGCAGAACGGCCATAGCAAAAGTGGAGTATACACTGTACGACCGGATGCTGGACGTGCTTTTCAGGTACGAAATTCTTCATTATTCTTAACACAATGATTGTTTATTCCTTTACAACGCTTGATTGCTTAGTACACGCTGTACACCAATTCAAAAAACGTTGTCGAAGAAAACGCCAAACGTCGATTGTCGAGATGAGATTGAATGACGAAAAAGGATTATGGTTGTGTTGTTTGACATACAAACATTTTACTTTTTGTGTTCGCTTTGCGTGAAGATGGAGACAATCAAATTGGAGGTAACGTTACCACAAACTATCTCACATAGGCTCCTTCACAGGTAATTCTAAATTTCCATCTTCGGGCTTCCTTTATTATGGTCATGTTGACCGTCAGGGACTAATGACAATCCCCTGATTCTTAATGTTGCCTGTTAGTTATGTTTTTTATTACTGATTAGCAAAACTCATGGTTCCTTTCGGTCGTGTCATCTSTGCTTTTGCGATTCGACATTTTATTTTAGACTCCTCCGCAGGCATCACAAAGAATCACGGGCTTCCGTTCTTTTTTGGGAGTCAATAGAGGGAGAATGGGGGCGAGAAAAGGGGAGCGTGTGAGATGAACGTTACAAAGGAAGTCCAAAGGAGGAAATAGGTGTATACAGAAGCTAGTGGATAGATAWTACAAATATTCGAAACCTATGAAGCAGCTAGCTTTGATATCAGTCTTGATTACAAAGGTATACTGCGACCAAGAAACCAATGGCGGTGGATGGACGGTRATCCAGAGAAGACAAGATGGCTCACAAGACTTTTATCTGGGATGGCAAAGCTATAAGCTTGGTTTTGGTAGTCTTRCAGGAGAATTCTGGTTGGGTCTGGACAAYATCTACCGACTGACCCGCAATATAAAGAACCGTCTTCGTGTTGAACTGGAAGACACGGTTTATGCTGAATACGACTATTTTGC